TCTCGATGAGCTTCATATATGTATATACAGTACAGGCCAAAAGTTTGGACACACCTTCTCATTCAATGTGTTTTCTTTATTTTCATGACTATTTACATTGTAGATTCTCACTGAAGGCATCAAAACTATGAATGAACACATGTGGAGTTATGTACTTAACAAAAAAGGTGAAATAACTGAAAACATGTTTTATATTCTAGTTTCTTCAAAATAGCCACCCTTTGCTCTGATTACTGCTTTGCACACTCTTGGCATTCATATAATTAACATTTTATTTCTCTTTCTTCTCATCAGGATGTCTGGGGCGAGAATCGTGGGTCACATGGTTCACAACCTGAAGTCAGGCCAATATGGGCTGGCAGGCATCTGCAATGGAGGTGGTGGAGCTTCTTCTATTCTGATCCAGAAATTATAGGACAAATTTATATATATGAAGAATCTTCTCTCTCCTTGATACACTCTGTGTTAGACTTTGTGTTCACTACCAGTTGACTCCAGATGGTTGATGTTAATGTAAATTCCCTTTCACTGTCAAGAATTCTTCTTTTACAACTTTAATGCTAGTGGCCTTACTCAAACAGCAAAATAGGACTGCACAAACATGACATCATGAATCAAGTGTTTGAAACACTCCTTTGTTTGATAAAACATACTATGCAAAAAAAAGGTCAGTATTTAACTGTAAAATGAAAGCAAAATAAATAGTTTTTTGGAACCACTGTTTTCTTATTGACCTTCTGTGACTTGAAGTTTGACCTATGATAACTGAAGTTTCACAATGGTCACATTGCTTGGGTTTCAATATTTTTACACTTAATCTAAAAACTTACACTACAAATATAGCGGCAAATACCGGGGTTCAAGCCAGCATGGAAATTTAATACTTGAGAGCTGGGAACAATAAAGAACTTTGACAGTTCAGGGCATGTACACATGTGTATTCATGAATACACAGCACACTCATTTGAAATTCACCATGAGCTTGGACAGACTTAAAATGAACTACACTTATATATGTTTATACATGACTCAGGTGACTTCAGACTTGACTCCAGACTCTCTGACCTGTGGACACCTTTCTGTGTGTCTGGATATATTGCTCGTTTCATTTAAGGTAATCAACACATCAGATCTGTGTCATGTAATCACTGCAGCTGCTTGTCATGTGATTGTAATTGCAACATGTGATCAGCTATATTTAAGATGGCCTCTCACAGTATTTGTTTGTCTGACGAAGAGCACACAGCTCGAAACGTACGTCACGGTGCAATAAATTATATTGTTTTCTGCAAAGAGTCCTGCAGTGTTGCGAGTCATTCACCCTTCTTTCATCTACAACTGTCAACTCAGCACCTGCCCTCCCACGGTGAGATGTGTGTGCCTTTGGTTTGATTTTTTGATGCATAAAAGGATTAATTGTTGGAATACACATACAAGGAGGTGTATTTAGCATAGCACATAATTAGTGGTTATTAGGTGTCATGTATGACCTTCCCAAATAACATTCCCAGTTAACTGGATCAATAACTCCACTTTACATTAATGAATGAAAACAGGAGGAGGAAACCACAATATTCTTTGACCTCATTTTATTTAAATGAAAAATACTGTAATCAGTCACTGTAGAGAGAGAGACAGAGAGAGAGAGAGAGACAGACAGACAGAGACACAGAGAGAGAGAGAGAGAGACAGACACAGAGAGAGATGTTTTTTGTCTGTCAAGCTCCATGTCCTGCAGCTTTCTCTTTTCATACTGGAGCTTCACATCTGCCAGCCCTATCAGCTTCTGTGGATGACTTGCATATAGCTGTCTGACAGTTTGTGAATTCTGTAAAACACATATCTATTAGCACAGCAGTTGTGGACACCATGGAGAGGACAACTGCCTTGCTGAGGAAGGTGAAGGTGATGGACTGGCCAAGTATGTATCCAGCCCTAAACTCATCTGTGCACCTGTGGGGCATCTTCAAGCTGAAGGTGGGGTAGCGCAAGGTGTCTTCACATCCATCTGCTCCATGATGTCATCATGGTGGAGTGGGAGAGGATTCCTGAAGCAACCTGTGAGCTCTGGTGAATTCCATGCCCAAAAGGGTTAAAGCAGTGCTAGATAATAATGGTTGGCACACAAAATATTGACACTTTAGGCACAATTTGGACATGTTCACTGTGGGGTGTACTCACTTATGTTGCCAGCTGTTTAGATGTTGATGGCTGTGTTTTGAGTAATTTTCAGAGGAAGGTAAATCTATACTACTGTACACTGACTACTTTAAGTTATATCAAAGTGTCATTTCTATAGTGTTGTCCCATGAAAAGATATAATGAAATATTTGCAAAAATGGGAGGGGTGTACTCACTTATGTGAGATACTGTACTTATATAATTTAGTCATTGTGCTCTTTTTTATCTGCTCTGTGTAATTGCCTCTGTTTGAAATGTGCTACATCAGAGATTCCTAAACCTTTCAGACCATGTACCACTAGGCTATGTACCAAACCAAATTTCCAAAGTGCAACTTTCTACTGCAGATATGAATTTTTTCATATGATAAAAATGACTATCACCCATGCAACAGCATCAGCAAGGCTAAACAACATCAACAAAATGCTACTTTATTAAAATCAAAGAATAGCCTACATTTATAAAGTGCACTCACAAAAGTCACTCATCAGGGGGACAGACTACATTCAGTTCCAGTTTCTCCTGCATATTACGCACTGCATGTTACAATCAAACTTACTTTACCTCACTACACACACACACACACACACACACACACACACACACACACACACACACACACACACACACACACAGAGTCAAGTCTACTGCCAGCTCACACAAGATAAAAATAAGTTCATACACAACATACCATTTAACGCGGGCGCTGGGGGGTATTCCATCAACGTAAGAATATCCAGACTACGGTTTAATCTTGAAGTTTGACTAAACGCCAACTCTCAATTTAGCGCCAACCCGTTCCATCAAATCAGCTGGCTCCAATTGACGCTAATTCAAGCCTCACCTGTTAAGCCTCAACTAATGCACGCGCCCGGGTAAAATAAAAAGCCCACAGTAGTCGAGTGCCGAAAATGTTGCACAATGTCAAAAAGCAAAGGAAAGGAGCGAGCGGAGGCTTTTTCTGCGGCGGAGCAAACGGTCCTCATCGCAGTGTATGAGGACATAATTAAGAAAAAGGCAATACTGCAGCACTTAATAAAGCAAGGGAGGTGGCGTGGTGGAATACTGCCAACAGGCTTAATGCGCAAGTCACAAAGAAAATTCAGCATTTCAGCATAATATCATGTTATATAAATCCCGCATCAAAGGGACAAAATATATGTAGATAAGAACACCTATTAAATCTAACAGTTCAAGTATGCTTAATGAAATTCACCAAATGTTTAAATTAATATTAGTGATAGACTATTTATCACATTTATCTACTGATTCCTATGTACATTTCAGATGATGCATTTAATCAAACTATTTTATGTCAATCATCGCATTTATCACATTTGATTGTAGATTATGACATTTCCAAAATGATCAGTTTATAGGAAATAATCACGACATTTATCTATTGATTGTAGAAAATTCCATTTAGCAAATCCATCAATTCAGTGGAGATGAGGAAACCTTTTCAGTGAATGCAAGTGATAGTGAATCAATTATCTATTTCTCATCATTTGGGAGTCAATTGTAAGCTCTATCCCTTATTATATCAAAATAAGGAAAATCCCCTTAAATGTATGAAATGTGCTATAGGATGAGGAACAGACAAACCACAATGGCGTGTGTCCCATTTTAATGTGGTTGCTTTGTGTCATGGTTAATTCATAAATATAAAAGACAACCATATGTTAATGTGAACAAATCAAGCCCTATGATGATATATGGTGATGCTAGAAATAACAGTGGCTGCGGCATGTGACCTTTATAATGTGTGGTTCCAGCAAACTGGATAGATACACTATGATTTGCCTGCTGAACTGGTACCTACAGATAGGAGTCTGTCTGTATCAGTGGGTTGGTCCTGTCCTGGAAGACCCTTGGGGCTGGTGGTGGTGGTGGGAAGGCCCATTGAGCAATGTGGGCCTCCTCATCAACAGGATCCTCGATGAAGGGGCATGCCATTATTTCCTAATGTACTCTCTCTTGCTCTGTCTCTGTGTCTCTCTGGGTGTGTCCCTCTCCTTCTCTGTCCGTTGTCAGTTGACCTTAATTGGCTGTGAATTTGCTAGCCAATTGGAAACAGAGTGGGGTGGGGATGGGAGGGCAATCACATATTCATGTACAATCTTTTTTTGTAATGCCTCAGTTTCATTTTATTATAGTTTTGTTTTTATTAAATTGATTTTGGCTTTACTGTTGTGTTTTAGACAGGCTGAGGGACAGGGTAGGGATCTCAGGGACCACTCTTCATTGGTTTAAATCCTATCTGTCTGATCGATCCTTTTCTGTGGCTGTTGGCCCTCATGAATCAGTTTGCCCCCCTTTCTTGCGGGGTGCCCCAAGGTTCAGTGCTTGGGCCTATCCTCTTTACGCTATACATGCTCCCTCTCAGAGATGTCATCAGCAATTTTGAAGGTATCTCATACCATATGTATGCAGATGACCTCCAGTTATATTTTTCTTTTAACCCTGATAGGACTGATGGAATTGACTCACTGTACGATTGTATGAATGTAATTAAGGACTGGATGTCTTCTAACTCCCTTCAGTTGAACACAGCTAAAACTGAGATTTTAATTATTGCACCTAATGCCTCAGCATCTAAAGTGGCCAGCTGCTTAGGGTCCCTCAGTGCAAATGTGCGCCCCAAGTTGAGAAACCTTGGGGTCACATTTGATCAGGCCATGCTCTTCGATGACTACATCAAAACTGTCACTCGCTCCTGCTTTTTCCACCTCAAAAACATTTCCAAACTCAGATCCATGTTAACTTATTCTGAGCTAGAAATGATCATCCATGCTTTTATTTCCTCACGTCTGGATTACTGTAATTCTCTTTTCACCTGTCTAAATAAAACTTCATTAGACCGCCTCCAGCTGGTCCAGAACGCTGCCGCCAGGCTTCTGTCCAGATCTCATAAGTTCACTCACATCACTCCAGTCCTGGCATCCCTGCACTTTCTCCCTGTTAATTTCAGGATCCAGCACAAGATTTTAACCATCACTTACAGAGCCCTCCATGGTCAAGCACCTGTATACTTGACGGATCTGGTGTCCTTTCACTGTCCTGTCAGGTCACTGCGGTCCGCTGAAGGCCACCTACTTACTGTCCCTCACACAAGATTAAAGACAAAAGGTGATAGAGCCTTTAAGGCTGTTGCACCGAAATGTTGGAATGCACTACCTCATGAGCTGAGAGCGGCCTCTTCCGTGGACATTTTTAAAAAGCAGTTAAAAACACATCTGTTTAAGCTTGCGTTCCATTAATTGTCCATTTTATCATCTCTGTATTTTGCTGCACTTTACTTTTTATTTGTTTTTGTGTATTTTGCATTGATTCTGTTATTGTATTTTTTGTATTTTATCTTGTGAAGCACTTTGAGTCCTCTCTGTGAGAAGTGCTATATAAATAAATTAACTTACTTACTTACTTACTTTTTTTTTTTTAAATTATCTTATTTTTATTACATTTTAATTTGTTTTTAATAGTTAATTTTTTTTATTAATTATGTCATATATTTTATGATCTACATATTATTTTATCA